TGTGATTTGTGTGACCTTAAGTGTCATGTGCAGTTATTGTAATTACAGTTAATATTAAAACATTAGCATTGAACATATTCTGGGATTTTGCAGAACCATCCAATGTTGACAGTATTGGCTGGGTTGGAAATGTTGCACTTCCTGACTCACTAGTATGATTTTGATGTGTAACAGTTTAGAGTTTCTTTAAGCTACTTGAAATTTGTTCACATCTTTAAACAGTTATACCATTTTTGTTTTTTTATTTCATGCACTCCTGACTTCAGTTATGTTGGTGGTATTCCCCAAAAGATAAATGTTTCAGTAAGAGAGGTTTCAAGGAGGAGTTACATCACTGTTTGGTGTGAATATTTGGATACTTTAACACTATGCTGCATGCCAGACTTTTTCCACCATGGAAAACATCTGGATATTTCCCACAAGGATGAGTCATGAAAAAAACACACATGAAACCAAACCTGCAAGCGGTCTGTTGGTTATACTGTCCAATTAAAATGGTGTTGCACTTTCCTAATAATATTAAACATTCTACTCGCTGTCACATTTGCCAAAAGCGCTCAAGTACATTTTCAGTGAAAATAAAGAGTGTTATGACAGCAGTGTTCAATAAATGTGTGCAATATAGCAGGATGATGCTCCTTTAGCATCACACACCTAATTAGACAATTACCACAACTCTTCTAGGAAGGCACTTCAAGTTCCACTCTAAAAAGCATTTCCCATCTGTTGAACTGAGGTAAGAAGGAACGGAAATGAAAATATAAAGTAGATAGATAGCCAAACAGGGCTGTCGCACTGCCGTTTTTTATTTTTGTAGAAGAAAGAAATTACAAGAAGAAGAAGAAAGAAAGAAGAGAAAGAAGAAGAAGAAGAAAGACAAGAAGAAGAAGCAAGAAGAAGAAAGAAGAAGAAGAAGAAGAAGAAGAAGAAGAAGAAGAAGAAGAAGAAGAAGAAGAAGAAGAAGAAGAAGAAGAAGAAGAAGAAGAAGAAGAAGAAGAAGCTTTATTAATCCCCCGAGGCGGGGGACATTCAGTTTCCATTCTGTCGTACACACACATGCGTTTTTATACAGGTCATGCAGTACACACAGTACACACTTTTCAGAACATGCACATACAAATACACACAGTTATATGCACACATGCACATGCAGTTGAGAGGTCAGAGCGGAGGCAGCCAGTCTAGCCGGCGCCAGTGAGCAGTTGGGGGTTAGGTGCCTTGCTCAAGGGCACTTCGGCAGTGGCCCAGGAGGTGAACTGGCCCCTCTCCAGTACCAGTCCACACTCCGTATTTTTTTGGTCCGATCGGGGACGTGAGCCGGCAACCCTTCGGTCCAAAGTCCAATCCCCTATACAGACCTATATTAAACCTGAAGGCAAAGGATTATGTGTGCCCTCATGTGTCCTTTCATCAGCACGCAGGGGCTATCATCTGCTTCAGGTAATAATTCAAAACAAGTCACTAGATCCAATGTAAAACTGCACAGTTTAGAGCTCAGAAGAAAATACACGATGAGTATTAGTTCAGTCAGTGATGTGGTTGTAATGAAGGAGAATTCTCAAATTTGTCAAAACCAAGACAATAATCAAAATACTGGATCTTAATGCCATTACCAGCAGATAATGATTTTCCGTAAAATTCTAATCTTCTCTGTCTGTCTCGGACAAACTGTTTGGGAGGTTGTTGCATACTGTTGACCCCCCTTGTGCCTCTGCCATGGAATTTGGGGGGAAAAAACCATAAGACTGCAGCTGCTGCTGGTCAAACGGCAAGTATTGTATTTTGTAATCTTGCTGGTCTCTCTGTTAAGATACTGAATGTTCAGCACTGAGAGAATGTATTAATGTGAGATACACAATTTAATACAACAACAAAAAACTCCAAGTGACATCTTCAAAAAACAACCGAAGACAAAAGAAGGGATGAGATGGAAAGAACAGTTTGGGGAATAAGATGAGGATAAAAATGAATTATGTATGAACGAAATGATCATTTTCTGGAAAATGTTTTATATCTGCCACATTTTCCTCTGAAAGGTACAAAGGGACCTGTCCATAAATCCATCTTACATTTCCCTTGAAATATATCTGCATGCTGTGTAATGGATTGAAAATCACAGACCAATATGTTTTTACTTATTTTTAATATTTTTAATATAGATAAAAATTGCTTGTACTTGAGCCAACAGTTATACATTATATTACCAACCTAACACTATAAAAGCATCTCTCAGGGAAATTGGACAATATGTAAATGTGTAGTAAACTCAATATGCTTCTATATCATCTACATACAGTATATTTCATTCTACTGATGAAACATAAAAATAATCTAAACATTAAATACAAAGACCAAAAAATCCACCACATAAAAATCACACAAACTTCAGGGAGATCCATTTCCAGCAGAAACCGTCCAGTTCTAGAAGGAATCATTATCAGGCACATAAGCATTTTTCCAATTTGCAAGCATCAAACCAAGAGGCCTGAAATAATGTTGGATACATTTACAGGAAGCCATATTTGGATTGATGCAGCCCATATCTCACATTTTGTCAAGCAATTTGGCCATTCAGTATGAATATCAGTCTAGGTCACTCGGGTCATTCTTATATGATTTATAGAGATCCAGCAAGAGACAAGTGTCCAGGAATAGCTTGCTCTTGAAAAATGGTGAGTTATAGCTACCGTGAGGCAATCATTCAGAGTTACAAAATAACAAATAAGTGGATTCAGATTTAAGCAAATACTCAATCTGTTACTCAGACGTTTCAAAGGTCAGGTTCAGATGACTTGTTATGGCTTTGCAGTTGTGCAAGGCAAGAAACACTCCCTTGACCTGAAACTGTCACTCAGCTCAGATGGACTCAACTCAGATGGAAGCTTTTGATCAACCTTCACTTCAGTACGAGTACAATTTAATTGGCTTTACTGCTTGGCTGCATAAAGATTATTTTCATGTGGATGAGGGCAGTCTATACATGATGGCACTTCAGTGGAAACTAATCCAAGACACAAAGCCGCTGTGCCAGGAACATGTTAGCACTCTGGACCCTATGCATCCAGATGATGAGCCACTTTCAAACAGCATACCCACACTTTTACTGGGCCAAGGAATTCTCTTGGTATGCTCATACGATTTGGACAAATTAAAATCAGACTGAAACCTTCCCTGAACTCCCACATTTGCAGGTCAGATGACAATACTTGTGTATTAAATCAAGAATATCTTGCTATTCACAATACTTCTTATATTAAAATAAAAACTTGTATCAGGAGTTTATTAAATTATTATTTAATTTTGGAACATTATCTTATGACTGTACTTTGCTCTGTCTGTTTTGGTAATAGAGAAATAAAATGCAGTGCATTTATTCATCAATTACTAATTACATTATTTAGCAGTAAGCACATGTTTTAAGAACTGTGTCTTGTAAGAAAACCACAGCTTGACACCCCTTTGAAGGCAGTTAAACTAAATTATGAATGCATTGTCTTGTCAGAAAATTACAAACAACCAACACTTGACAAATAAATGAAAGCTTATGAATGTGTGGTCTCCCATTAGGTTGAGCTCACAGCTGCCTCTGGGTGACAGTGATGAACAGTGGAAACTATCAAGTGAGATTTGAATAGTTGTTGGTGATGCACGGGGCTCATAAATGACTGAATAATTGATTGTTTAGTACAGTGTGGGAAACTAAGTGGAAAAGCAGAAGGATCCCTCTAGCAGATGTTTTCTCCATTTTCCGTGTGTTGTTAATGTATAAAATATAACCTGCTGTGCGTCCGTCTGCAGAAAGCATTTACTCTCTACGCAGCAAGGTTTTCCTTTAACTGAAGCAGTTTCCCTATAGTTACTCAAACTCTGCTGGTGAACACATTGCAAAGGTTACTGATAGTGTGAAGATAAGAGACTTTAGTAAAAGGGAAAATATTATTTAAACAACCAAACATTAAATGGTTGACTATTTATTTTAATTCCCAGCACACACCCTAGCATTAAAAAATAAAACTTAATTAATTCAATCATCATACTGGCATAAAGTATACATGATGAATTTGGGGTGAATCAATTGCAACAGGACCCCTTAGCTTTCTTTTACATTACATGTCACTAGTTATCCAAAGCGACTTACAGTTAACAATACTGTGCCAATCCCCACAGGAGTGTCTTGCCTCCCTACAGCCGCCATTATCTTCTATTTTGCCATATCTGTGGATTTTGCTATTGTAAATAATAAAGATAATGAAGCAGAATATGTTGGTACTTCTTGTTTGGATGGTATGCAAGTTGCTATTTTTGTTTTCTGTGGCCCACTGACTGGATGAACAGACAGAATGGTTCATGTCATTTTAGTTTGACTGAATAAAGCAACATTCAAATAACAACACTATCACTCCAAGCAGTGGGAAGCCAGCTGCCTGGCTCAATAAAGCCCGTTGTTGCACTGTGAATTATTTTAATTTGAAATGACAGATGAACAAAACAATGCCTTTTACATTTTGCCATATTTGTATTGATGTGCGCTCCAGGAATTTGTGCTGGTTTCTTGGCAGTCCTTAGATATTTACCACTTTTACTCAATCCAAAAACCATAAAGAGCACTGAAGATTTTTGCACACGAGCCAGACAACAGAGGAGCTGGGGCTGTCCCAAATGTCTGCGCACAACATCTCACACAATGTCCCTGCAACTCCTGAGCAAATATTTTAACTGGCTGTGCTGTTGAAAACAACATCTTAAATATGATTCATTCTTCTGATAAACATCTAACCACTGTAAATTATTACTAATGACATCAAACCTGCCGATTTGTTTTCACGTTATGCAAAGTTGTTTGTGTTTTAATGCATGTGCCATATACTGTATTATGGTGATACATTTTTATCTTATATAATGTCGTCTTTAAAGTTGTCGAAAGTTGACCTCCATGCTTCCTCTTAAAGAAACAGAAAAATGACTGTCCCATTATAGAGGCGGACTCCGAAATGTTAGCATCTAATTTAAGGAATTTTTATTTAGAAAATGTAGACATGTTATTGAGATTGTATATTTTAGATTATCTTTTCTGAACTATTGTTGGCCATCCAAGTACATTCGAAATTACTCCAAACAACAATCTCTTCTAATACAATTTTCAAATCGTCATATTCATATAAAAGAAAGCAGTTTATTGGAAAATGTTTAAAAAATAGGAAAGAAAAAACTGCAGCTGAATACATTGATCCTAATGATACAAGCAAAGACAACATTTACATGAAACCTTAAAAAACTTCAGGAACAAAACAATTAATGTAACAGTTTTAATCTGAGACACAACATCATTTCTGCTGACATTTATAAATCTTCCCAAACAGCTAGTAAACTTGCTTTGACCGTCTCCTCTGGCAAAGAAACAGAGAGGTTTAGAACTGAAATGTTTTTTATAGCTACTCTAATGGCTTGGATGTAAAACATTTTATTGTTATCTTAACCCCTAAAGCAATGCCAACATGTAACATACACTTACATATTCTGAACTTTTTATTAGACATAGCACACTCAAAATAGATATACATTCAAAGTACCATTACATTGTTTAAGAGAAAAAAAATTGTTGTTGTCAATTATACCTTCTACAGTATATTTCAAATCACCGGCATTTTAGGTGTTTCACCTGTATTAAAACAACAATCTCAACCTCTTGGTTTGGTGTCTCTTTCTTCTTCTACAACGTCGATGTTCTCATCCGTTCATGCTCAGTCTCTTGCACTCCTCCTGGAGCCAGCTGGTAAATCAAAAGGTAAAGGATCAATGAGTGAATGATGATAATGTTGAATATGAACTGCATTGAAGCTCGGCATCAAGGTGCTGATGTCATCTATCGCAATGGAAACAATAAGCTCAGCACCGCAGGGAGTGGGAAGTGAGTCAATATATTTACGCATACAGAAGCCTATGGACACTGAGCTTACAAGTTTTTGCTGTATTGGATGTGGGATTCATAAACTGCATTACAGTATGAACAGCAGCCGCAAGGGCATTAGCACCAAGTCACAGCATAGCTTTCACGTGAGCGTTGTGGCGGAAAGCATGGCAGCAAAAGAGATAGCAGCCAACATTGACCTTGAAGTAGTTTGTCATTTTGGAAAATATTCTTATTTGCTTTATTGACAAAAGTTAGATGAGACGATTATTATCATTAAGTGGTATCAATCTGCTCATCTCAGCCAAAAAGTGAGAAGTTTAAGTGTATTTCCCAAAATGTCAAATAATTCCTTTAAGTACACACACCTGAAGGGGTGCATTGGATAAATGCAGAGGAATATGCCATGTGAACAAACAGCAGACTCAACACAACGGCCTGAACTAGCTCCAAGCTGCTTTTATTACACATTGCAGCTGTTTTCTTTGGACTGGCTCATTTTCTTTACCTACAACTCTCCGAGAACCAGTTCTTCTTCTATTGCCTGCTATAAAGGCAAACACACATATATGTCACACATATTTTACGAATTGTTCTTTCCCAATTACTGAGATTATACAAACTAATAAAACTCACCTTGGATAATCCTGGCTAGTCTATCAGTATCCTCTTCAGTGTTGGCAATACCTGAAAAGTCAGTTCCTGAAGAAAAAAGCAAACATCTCTAAAGTAAAATCGAATTATTTTATACAGAAGAGCTTTGTTCTGTTCTGCTTGAAAAAAGAATCAGGTTACATTGCTGTTCTTCAGCCTTAATATAGCAATGATGACAGACACCTTGTATATTAACATACTGTATGGATAATCAGCTGTTTCCTCTGGAGATTTACATATTTATTTCAATTCCATTTAATCACCCAGCCATTAGTAACCATAGCATAATGTTATTGTGGTTATTCCTTATTTATGGGTTACTTGTAGTCAATTACTTAAAATACTGTGAACCTGAACACCATTGAGGATTATAGTGACACAACTAGGACAATGAACCCCATTGTTTATAAAAACAAACTATTAAATCCTTATATGTCTGTTCAAATCTCATTAAGTTTTACTCACCTTCCAGGGCTATGTTGGTGGTGCCATAGCTGCTTGAGAACTGAGGGCCTGCAGACAACAGCATTCATGCATCTTTTAGATGATGCATGATATAAAACTACTGACGTATTGATTTCACTGAAATATATGTACCTTCAATGACCCTGGTAACCTTGGTGATGGACGGTTGACCTTCAATGACCCTGGTAACCTTGGTGATGGACGGTTGACCTTCAATGACCCTGGTGACCTTGGTGATGGACGGTTGACCTTCAATGACCCTGGTGACCTTGGTGATGGACGCTTGACCTTCAATGACCCTGGTGACCGTGGTGATGGACGGTTCAGCTTCAATTACCCTGGTAACCTTGGTGATGGACGGTTCAGCTTCAATTACCCTGGTAACCTTGGTGATAGTGGGCTCCCCTTGGATAATCCTTGTAACTTTCCTTTCATCAGGAACTATAATAGCGAAGAAGAAATGTTTCATTATTAAAGGCAAGGGGCTTTCCCGTTTTACGCTGGTTTAACAACAAAACTGACCCTTCACCGCATCAGAAAGGTTTGCTTTGAATAAAACGTGATTCATAATCTATTTCTGCCATTTTTTATTTATTTTTAAATAGTTTTCTTGCACTGCTGTTTTATTTTCATAAATTGTGTTGCTTCATGTTTGTGTTTCAAAACAGTTTATATGGCTGACTGGTAAACAATTAGCCAGAAGCAGAAAAGAGATTTCTTATTTCTCTCTCAGATTATTGCTACTCCAGCTGTCAAATACTGTATGTTTTTATATGTGAAATGATGGATTAATAATGAAAATGGTTGGTGATTGATCAGTACATGTTTCAAGTTAACAGACAGTAGCCTTCCTATTCATTGCCTGATTCTATGCATGGAACCGTTTGTTGTTGTCATACACTGTGTTAGGAATCACATGATGATGATGATACTCTTTAATCACAACTACTGTACCTTCTTGGATGACACGAGTCACGGTCCTCTCTAATAACGACAGGAGATATTAAGCCATTAATGACGGTGAAGAATGTAAACACATATGGTATTTCATAGCCAAAATCATCATATTTACGCTACTTACTCATAAATGTAAGGGGGATTTCCTGATATCTGAATCCTGAGATGTACTGCAAAAAAAGAAGGACATATTTGACCACAGATGATACTCTAACAGCAGGGATTCAAGTTGGATCATGTTCATTGTCAGTGATTGATTACCCTGTTAAAGACAAATAAACCAACTGCTGAGCACAGTCATAACACCCTGGTTCCAAACCACTGCTTGATGCTTTGAACAGATGGTTTTCAAGCTGATTCTTTTCTTGTAATTTATATTGAGTTACATAAATTGTATTTTGGCAGCCTTAGAAGAAATTAAAACAACAAACACCTGTATTTTGAAAACTACACATTGTATTTAATAAGCCTCACAGCTTTAATACAAATAAGTAATTTTTTGATCTCTTACCCTGATCTGCATGTAACTGATGAGCCTCTTCAATAGCATGAGCCAATCCTGGCTGCCAACAGGGATATCTGAAAGAAAACACAGGGCGGTAATTATGGTTGGGCCTTTACAAAAGTAAAATAAAAAGAGAGTGCGTCATTTGATTTGTAAATTGTACCTCCAGGATACAAGACTTGGTTGACAAAGTGAACGACTCCATTTGTGGCCATGATATCAGATTCAGGGACTAGGACAGAGTTCACTTGCATTGAGCTGTTTGCCTGAAGGAAACAATTACAAACAAGTAAAACAAAAAATGAAAGGATTATTCTTTTACTGAATTATTTAAACACGTTTTAATAGCGTCATCCTTAAAGATACAACAAAGTACATTAATACCAGAAAATGGATCTTAAGGTATATGACTAATTGACTTAAGATAAGAGTTTAGTCTATTTAGTCTTATTGTGCTAAATACTTACAAACATCACTCTGAGGTTGCTGCCCTGAAGGGACTTCAGAAGGTTTGTCACCCCAGACTCCAAACCACCACCAATGAAGATACCATTATTGATGTGATACAAAAGGATGGTTCTGAGAGCATCGGTGTCACCTGAAAAAAAGATGGCAAACCATCAACTAGCAACATGCATTCCGTGGTTGTGGTTTAACACATTAAACGATAGAAGGACTATATAGAGACATACTCCTTAACAAGGACAAATCACTGCTGCTCAAGCCAGCAAAAGCTTTGTCGCTTGGGGCAAACAGAGTAAAGTCTCCCTCCTGTTTCAGCAGGTCGGTCAAGCCAGAATCTTCAATTAGAGACAAAAAGATCCTGCAGCAACGAGAAGAAAAACACAGTTATTACGCTGTTACAGAAATCACTAAGGACAGCATTTTGTCATTACTATATGTGCGATGTGGGTTTTAGGGAAATATACAGAGAGATGTGGTTTGAGTATTATGCTGCATTTGACTACCACAGTCACTTTTCCACATAAATGCTCTCTACTTACTTGAACCCTCCGTTTTCTGTCAGAATCTGAAACATAGTGTTTTCCGCTGGTCTCAACAGAGTTCTCATGAGATGAAGGACCCCGTTGCTTCCTTCTTTACTGCCTCTTATTAGACACGCATTCTCAATGCACACAGCCTGGAGAAATAGTCCACAAGTCAAGGGTATTAATGTTAAAGTATGTTTCAAAGATCTGACGATTGCGTCAAATATCGCAGGTAAAATATTTTAAAAGTACAATAATAATAAATAAATAAATAATAAAAAAGACGCTTATGTCATTTATAGATGGAGTGAATATAGGTTGTGTTTCGTGAGACCCAGCAACAATTTTTGGGCACAACTTAAAAGGAGACCCACCGAGCGATAGATGAAGACCCTCAGAAATCTTCCTCCAATAGTTTCTAGCTGCTGACCGTTAAACAGCTGTCCCAAGACGACCTTACTCTTCAAGATGTGGTTCTCCAGGATAATTCTGAGCAGACTCTGATCCATCGACATCACCTCATCTGTAAAGGAAATCAATTGTTTTATATTTCCTATAAAAGAGTAAACATACCAGCAACATTCTAGATTTCCTTCCGATTCATTGGCTTAAGCTAAATGAATGCTTTTTTATATTCTTATTATTTAAAACATAATGTAAAACATAAGATCAGCAGCTGGAAAACTAAGTGTGATCAAAGACACATCTGCTGTCAGTGACTTGATTTACTGCACAGTTGGTGGACCACACGAGACATGATTCCTGTTCCTGTTACATCCAGCTGTTGCCCGTGCATTCCTTACACCCATTTAAAACCATTTAAAAGAGACATTTTCTCTGTCGTTCTTGATGCAAAAGCAAATAATCTCTACTCCCTTTGGGTGAAGTCCAGGAATGTTCTCTGGGGGAGTGGACACTTGCTGTTACATGGCATAAAGCTTCTGCAGTGTGCCAATAAATGTATAGTTTCCCTAAAGCTCCATACATTTACACATATTGACTAATGACTCAGCACATGAGGGGTAAATACAAAACAAATCTAAATATCACCAATTATTCCAGAATGTGACTAGAGTAGAGTCTAGAGAATGGACCCAGGCTTTGTCTTCAGCCACCAACTAAATAGGGGCGTGCTTTATTGAATCACCAGTATGTTACTCACCATTGAAGACAGTGTTGAGGGGGGCAAGCAAAGTGTACTCAGCATCAGATTGCATGGAAGCAGAAAGGCCTAGCTCAGACACCATGTCTCCAAAGGTTGACTGGGAACTTCCAACCAGTTCCATCACCTGTTTAGCTTGAGGCGCAAAGGGAATTTAAACACCATTAAAAATATGGATTACAGAAAAACAATATATGTATTAATGTAGTAAATCGGGTAATCATTAATAAGGGGAAAATGTGCAAGTCTAACCTGAGTCTGGCATGAGCACTTGATCAATAAGGTGGATGACACCATTGGTGGTGACAATGTCCTTCTTGAGCACCATCTTGATGCCATTGACTGTTAAACTCTCGCCATCACAGCCGATCTCAATGTTGTTGCCCTCCAGGGTCTCGTAGGAGGTGCCACCCATGATAGCCTCAGAGCACTGGACAGAGTCCAGGATGTGGAAATTCAGGAGAGCTGAAAACGCAGGACCAAGTTTTGAATTATTATGTGGGATATGGGTAGATGTTTATTTGAGTGGGTTGGTTGACTGCATTGGCTGTTTTATATCATCTCTTATGTTATGTTGCAGCTGAGGATATAACGTCCTGGGAACCTGAGGAACCCTTAGATCCCTTGGGTCCTCGACTGAGAAGGCTTGTGATTTCGTCACCGTTCTGTTTAACTTTGTGTGAAATGGTCTGATCTGGTCTCACATCATAAGGGGAACTGTGGGCAAATAAAACATGTTGAGATGTTGCCAATTCGACCAGTTTGCTCAATGAAGCAGCTGTTTCCGGCCTCACGTGTTGTATGAACGTTTTGTATGAGATTCTGCACTTTTTGGTGTTTTTTTTCCCCAGGATTTTCAAACCTTAAAGTAATTTAAAGTATTTACCTTCTCTAATTAAAGATTAAAGTGGTACTATTCTTGCATATTTTTAAGAAAAAAATATTTAAGGACACATAAGTGTTAAAGGATGTATTGCATTGTTTGACCTTCATCGAGAACTTAATGCACTACTTGAATCCTCAGACGTATTTTTATTAGGCTTTAACAAAACGTTGTCATGCACAGCTTGCCAGATGTGTTTAAGTTCCAGATTCAATGTGGCGCCATCTGTTTTGAGTTGGGGAAGTTGAAACATCACTTTATGGGGAATTAAGCCTAGGAAAAAGGCTGCCAGGGAATCATTGCATTTCTTTGTCTTTACCTTCATCAATCAATATAAGTATGGTCCTATTTGCAACAGTTAATATAAACATCAGTCTCAACAACAATGTTTTAAATGACTGAGTGGTCTAAAGAACTGCGAGACACCTCGTCGTGTTTACCTTTGAGGACCTCCTTGTCGCCCTGAAGTCTTTCCAACACTTCACTGCCCAGAGTCTCAAAGGCTTCGTTGGTGGGAGCAAAGAGAGTGAAATGTCCTGGCTGACCCAGCTTCTCCAGCAGACCAGAGTTTTGAGCCACATCCTAAATTGTTATCACATAATTACTTTTAGTGAACATCAAAATACGATATATACACTGGAAACATTTGCAAAAGCAAGACATTACAACCTTACAATTTTGCAGTTTTTGATTTATGCATCTGCTTTATTTTCTATATTGCTCTTCATGCTTATATTGAAATTGTAAAACGTGTTAAATTATTTCATACTTTGTTCAGAATCCTTGTTTCTTGAAGTGCTAAAAATATTTCATCAATGTTTGGGTTTACTTACACTCAGGGTTGTCAGGTCATCGTTAACCTCAATGACATCCTGGATTGTGTTGCCAACAGCTTTGATAACACGGTCAATGACATGCACAACTCCATTGGTGGCAATCTGGTTACCATGGATAATCCTGGCGCAGTTCACAGTCACCACCTGCACAAAACATTCACATCAATGTTATACGACTAAAGTGTCTCTAGTACAAGGGACTGCTATGATAATACTATATGATAATACTCACCCCATTGGAGTAATGATTTATTTGAAGACCAAGGTCATGGTACATGGAAGTGACAGTCATTCCATTCTTTAAATCTTTGGTCAAGAGGCGTTTGTTGGCCATGTGATAATGCAGAGCGTTGTACAGTTCAATGTTGACATTGCTGATTAGTGCGCCCCTCATTTCCTGTAAGATGAAAAGAAGGACATTTTAAAACCTAAAAAAAAAAGAGCCAAAACAAAGATTTTTGTTTTACTTTTGACTCACTTCATCCAAAAGCTCCCATGCATCATTGCTGGGGGCAAAGATGGTAAACGATCCAGATCCCTCAATCTCAGGCCTCAGTTTAGAGATGTCAGAGTATTTTTGGGTTGAGGTGGCCTTCACCACACCCAAGGTGCCATACACATTGTCGATCGGGGCCACTAAGAAATAATATGTATAAAATAAGCATTATTAGAGGTTTGTCTGCCATTCGTATAAAATACTTGAAAGAAAGACTATTTATGCGTTGACATTATGCTACACCAACCTTTTTGTGTTTGTTTGGATTCATTTCATAAATAGCTCACAGCTGCTCTACAGTTGGAGGAAATATCCTCATCTAACCTTTAAACATGTACAACATCGTAGCACTGTACCTGCAGGGCATCCACGCATGCCTTCCAGCTTCATGTACCCTGGGCAGCACTCATAAAGCACAGTCCTGCAGGCAAAACACATGGATCACAAACGTGGGTATCATCTCAATTCAGTAAAACATAATTTCACATGCTGTTTTCAAGCCTCTTTCAACATAGATGAGTGAGACATTTTCTGGCTGCCATGTTGTGAACTGATCCATCATTTCACAGTGGTTTACTGTGTTCATTGTTTCCAGATGTTACTCATTATCTCCTACATTACCCACATACATCATGTGATCCTACAACTAGCCAAAACCTAATGGAGATGGCTGCTACCGTTAAAGTAGTAGATTTACATAACCAAGACCTCCTGTTTGAAGTTAAGCAGTTAGTTTGGACTACTTGGCATTTGGTTAACCTCAGCCACATTAACATGTCATGCCTAGAGAACCTGCTGTAATTACAGTTGAGTTTAAGGTAATTTTGGTTGACACCCTGAAAAAGGGTTTGATGGTAATTATAAAAACTGTTGAATTAAACTGAATTACATAATTTAACTGAATCAGACATTTTTACAGACAAGGATAATTGTGATTTATAAAAGATACAAATGAAACATTTGTATTTACTGTTGTACAAACATTTAGGAATACCTTTCTGCTTTCTACGCACTGTAAACAGCACTGGACACTGTAGCCCGAGTAGGATATTAAAACTGCAGCTGCTACATATAAATATGCCAAAACAGTACCCCTTGCATCAGCAGGTTTAAACATGTTTAAACTATTTCATTGTTTCCAGCTTTTGGAAAAAAAGACATTTGCAGATGTACATTTTACCTCAAGTAACTAACAGGTATGCAACAATACAAATAAACCACATATATATATAGTAGTGGTTAACAATACCAAATGCGTCGAGAGTTGGCTGGGGAGTTTATTACTTTAGACTGCCAAGATTTTTTTGTTAGAAAACTATAACAAATAAGCTGCTCCCCCCTCCAGATTTTTTGCTTAAAATTGGCACTACAGTATGTGACACGTAGCATTACATTTGATTGTCTTAAAAGTGTATAGGAGTACTTGTTCTTCAGAACAGAAAAGTAGGAGGAAGATAAGGAGTGTCCCAAGGTCTACCAGTTCCTCTTTATCAGCGGTTTCCCACACCAGGAAAGCACCATATGTTCGCCATGTTTAGTTAAAAACGGACTAAGTGAATTAGGCAATATGGTAAGATACAAAGTCTTAACTGGATTGAAAGATCACACAACTTAAAACATGCTATAGATACAATCATTGTGAATAGTTGCTCTTGGGCAAAAACCTACAGTAGTGGAATTCTAAACCCTTCAATAAAAGCATTATGCTTTAAGTTAAAACATGTGTTAACTGTCTCAGACAGGGTACAGACCAAAGCTTCTGGGTCATGGCAAACTGCACTGCTTGAACCACTATAATTTAGTCATAGTTGAATGGAGTCGGAGGGACTGGGATGAGATCACACAAGCCCTGTTCCGGCAGAGTCAGCGAAACCCTCGCTACATTGCTTTCCCACACAGAGGGATCATAGTGTTGGAAACTTTTGACTTGTCAGCATCTCTATAAAAATAACTGTTCCACATAGATCATGAACACTTTCCCAAACACATAAAGTTTTATGTGGCTTTATTCCAATTCAACCCATCACTAATAAGCAGTTTGGTTGTACAGGGTTTTCTTTGAGACAGAGCTGCTTTGTAAGCAGAATAATTTTCACTTGTTGAATCAGATAAGTATAAGTGTATTATGGCTGGCTAAATCAAGTTATAAACCAACAGTAAGTTAGACTTTATTATGATATATATATATATGTCTCCCTTGAAAAAGAGATCATATCAATGATTTCAAGGGATACACCTGGATAAAAAGGTTTGAAATTAAATATGTTCAAGATGGTTCCTTTCTGTAACTTCTACGGTAGAGTAGGAGATATCTCATATTTTATACAAAATGTAACCTTTAATGTACCTAAATACACTGAACAAAAATATAAACGCAACACTTTTGTTTTTGCTCCCATTTTTTATGAGATGAACTCAAAGATCTAAAACATTTTCTATTTACACAAAATAACCATTTATCTCAAATATTGTTCAAAAATCTGAAAGAATCTGTGATAGTGAGCACTTCTCCTTTGCCGAGATAATCCATCCCACCTCACAGGTGTGGCATATCAAGATGCTGATTAGACAGCATGATTATTGCACAGGTGTGCCTTAGGCTGGCCACAATAAAAGGCATTTTTGCTTTATTGGGGGGGTGTGGGGGGGGTCCGAAAACCAGTCAGTATCTGGTGTGAGGGGTAGGATTAGGGTTAGGGGTAGGGTTAGGGTAATGTTGTGAATCGAGTGGCCTGTGTTCGTCGTCCATAACATACGCCTGCCCATACCATAACCCCACCACCACCATGGGCCACTCAATTCACAACATTACCCTACCCCTAACCCTAATCCTCACACCAGATACTGACTGGTTTTCGGACCCCCCCCACACCCCCCCAATAAAGCAAAACTGCACGTTTCAGAGTGGCCTTTTATTGTGGCCAGCCTAAGGCACACCTGTGCAATAATCATGCTGTCTAATCAGCATCTTGATATGCCACACCTGTGAGGTGGGATGGATTATCTCGGCAAAGGAGAAGTGCTCACTATCACAGATTCTTTCAGATTTGTGAACAATATTTGAGAGAAATGGTTATTTTGTGTATATAGAAAATGTTTTAGATCTTTGAGCTCATCTCATGAAAAATGGGAGCAAAAACAAAAGTGTTGCGTTTATATTTTTGTTCAGTGTATATTTGATATAAAGGTTCTTGTCCTTTTTTTTCTAAATCAGAGAAACTGATACTGTCAAAGGTTTACAGTATTTACTCTTCCAAATCTACAGCTGCTTTTAAATCAGTTCCTGTGAAATGTCGGATGTCATTGAACTGAAACACCTATTTAACTTGGCATTGTGTTTTCGAAATGGGAAACATCTTCGGAGCTTGTAGAAGAAAGGGTGGGAGGAAAGATGGGAGGGTAATACTGTAAGTTGGGCTTGGTAAGGTAATATGATCTTTGTCACGATAACTAATGTGTTTTCAATGAATCTTTCATTCCCAACTAAAGTAACCAAGCTAAGTTCATCAGCTAATATAAACATTTGCTCAACTCAAACTGGAATCTATTTGTAATACATATGGTTTTGCTTTCAGTAGACCATTGCATCAGTTTACCATTACATTTAAGTGTGTATTTTGTATTATTAATGTAAAGAAGCCAGGTCTATTTGGAGTACTAAGACTTAATGTAGATGCTTGTGGGTGTGAGAGGGATGGGAACTGAGGGGACTGGAACAAAAAGAGGAAAAGAGGTTGACTGGAATGATTGAAAGAAATGAATTGATATTTTCCATTCGTGAATATAGTCAAAATTTCGCAGCCACATCATATACTGGAATCAGAGGTTCACCACTGTGGCTTTCAAGGATGATCGAGCTTCCGTGGTTATAAAAAACCCTCACATGAGGTTTATGGGATCAAATAGGACAGTCTCCAAAACAAAGAATTCAGGACTGCCTCCACAAACGGCGGAATCATTCAAAGTAAGATAACAGATGTTTGTCTCTGTGGAAACATTAAAGTTTCCATGCAAACCCTTAAAGAAGCAGGCACGTGATACAGAAAATATGCAGTATTTCCAACTGATGTTCAGGTTAAACTATTTAGTCATTCAATTTGCTTGTAATTTTAGGATGGGCAACTTGTCCTATTGGAAACATGAAACAACACTTACGCTTTCTTTCCACAGATAGACCCGCGGTACCAATTACGACAAGTGCTGAAGTACTTCTTCTTGGTCCCCATGAATTGTTGGAGTGCGCAGACATTGGGTCTGAGGAGAATTGAGGGTAAAAAAAAAAGTGATGAATTATTATTGGCAGGCAAAGCACATGGGAAATATTATGGAAACAATCCACATTTAAAAGTTAAAAACAGACTTGCTGGGAAGACACTGTCAAGAATGAGTAATTCTTTTTACAACTACCCTTGATGCTTATGAGACCAGACAGGCAAACATAAATCATTATCACAACATCCACTCCTGCTGACTATGATATTGGTTTGCAAGATTTAAGAAATCATTTGAAAAACTATAACACGTCTTACTCCTTTAAAAAGTGAGATGTAATATCATATTATGAGCAATGTATGTGAAACTATTGTGACTGCACTATATATCAGATTACATAGAAAAACAGAACACAGACACATGCAGAAATCAAATGAATAACTGATGCTTTTAATGCAAGGCACATCACCATTGCATGGAAAGTAATTAAACATGGTATCACAAGAGTGTTAAAAATGCAATAATCCAATTACAATTTAACCATAATGAAAAATATGAATCTTACCCTTCTTTTCTTGCCCTGATGCGACTATGGGCAACTATCTTGTCATAAGCTGAAGAGTCAGCCTTGTCAAATGCAGAAAGCACAAAAAGTGCAAAGGCAGCTACAAAAAGGATCTTCATTCTTGGTCTCTTAGCTCGCCCCTCCAGACCCAGATTGTGGGAGCAGACTCGGAGTGGGAGTTTATATACCACAAGACTTACCCTCCACTCAAGGAGGTGGGCAACATTTTGTGCATGCATAGACCACCCAGAACATTTGTTCATTTGTATCTACCAAGCCTTTTCCTTTCTTGTGTGTGTGATTAATTAAAACATGTTGTAATTAGTGGATTATCTCCCATATTAAATAATTTACAGAGGGTCATTAACACAAAGAACATGGGAACACCATTACATTCATAAAATGTCTTTGACAATCGTCTTTAATACACATTTAAAAGGCACACACATGTATATGCATTGCTAAAAGAAGAGGCTTTGTTATGGTGAAACAATCTAAATGTGTTTATTCCACTTGTTTTAATACATGTAGCCACATCACAGCGAACACTTTTACTCAAGGAAGATTGCATTGAATTGAAAATAAGGCAAATGATCAGGGCACATTACTTTTATTATTTAATAGATTTAAATGTAACATCTCAAGAAAGTGTAACAGATGTCTCAAATGATAGCTTTGCATATTTTATCACATAAAGAGACATACAAAATGAGCAGATGGGTCCAAATGCATCTTGCCTGTTAAAGTGTCACATATTTGGACTGCAAACAAAGAACCATTGCATAATCTGACTGAATAAATATTTCAGAGTGTAGTTTGCTCCACCTAGTGGTGGTAGGGACTGCAGGCAGTCAGTCTCACATCATCACTATCTTTCATGGATAATATTTTTCACATAATCATTATGACATTGGAGAGGGAATAATTACTGAGATTAGTTAGTATTTTGAAGTATTACAATTTAGTAAGCCAAGAACCAGACATCCAACCGTAACACCCAGATGCTATTCTAAAGTACAGTTTCTGTTTTAAATCCAATAAACATGATCTTGTAAGAACTAACAGGACACAGACATTCATACTTTCATGTTAGCAATTGTTTATTGGCTACAACTACAGACAAAACACTAAGTTAATAGTGTGTGAATTAGCTCACATAAGCACAAAGTCAAAACCCAGATTTGGTAAAAAAAAAAGAAAAAGGATAAGGTACAATTTAAAAACAGCATGAGCACACCTATGTCATGCATTACTCTGCAATTTGCTATTATAACCGTTTGGTACCTAACTAACAAGCAAAATGACCCATGGCATCAAAGATTATAAACTCTTAAAGTGCATCTGTCGTTAAGCTTTACCAGTGGGTGATGTTGCTGATAGTATACCCAAGTCACATCACTTACATCAGACAATCTCCCACATGTTGCTAAACCTCCAGGCCAGACAGATGTGAGCAAGAAAGTAATGTCCTCCATGCCAACGGAGTCAATGAATGGTGAACAACAGGCAGAATCCCCCCAAACAGACCCAGGATCGAAATTCAGCACATATCTGAGACTGAGAACCAGTGCCTTTGCCTATGCTTGTGTACAATATGTGTAGACTAAACCACAACAAAACACATTCAAACGATGATACTTTGAAAGCTGTAAGTCTCTTATGAACTTGATTAGTCAAGACCTTTAGAAGAACACTTGCACATAAAATCTCCCAAAGACTGGAATAAATTAACTTCACAATCTCAACATTCCAAGGAGCAGCCAATTTTGGAACTGAAGACTCGCTGCAGTGATAATAAAATGCAGCATGCTTTCAATTTGAATCTGAACCCTCTCTATTCAGTTACTTTCACCAATTACCAACACCACATGTGTTACAAAGATTAGATAAAGTAGCTACAATTGATCCTGATTACAGTTTCTTCTCTTTGTGTCTTGGTAGTATTCTTCTTTATGTGGAAATGTAAGTCACATTTGAATGAGCTTTCCAGATAAACACATACTACAACAGTCTGTAATAAGCTTTTCTTGATAAATGATTTGCGCTCAGCTGCTATGGTAACAGGAATCTAAAGACCTCATGCTCCCAAGTGTTGGCAGTTTCAAGCTATAAAAGGTGTACATTAGATTATCTGGGCAAATACAGTAAGCCTAACTTCAAAAGCACAACACCAACAACTGATCATTTACTGCTTTAATAATAGCTTATAACTATTAGGTATAGCAGTATACAGTATTTACTGTCACACAAATAAAATCAATGTTATTGATTGTAGGTTAAAACATGAGCTGTTATTAATACAGCTTCCATTGCAAGTTCTGCACAGGTTTTCCTATTTTTTTTATGTTGAGTTTTCTGCCTTTTATCGATAGCATACTGGAGAGGGACAGAAAAGGGGGATGGAGAGGTGACAACAGAAAAGGCACATGGGTCGGAGTTGAACCTTGGCTGCTGCAGTGCAGCCTTGGTCTGTGTTGTACATGCATATTATACATCAGTAGACAGCACTTGATAAGTAGTTACATATAAACATAAGCTAAATATGTAATTAAGAAAGAACGGTGAGGTGACTGGCACGTTCTGAAGTTCTTATAAGCAGTGATCTTAAGTAACTACGTATTTACTCAAGTACTGTACTTCAGTACAAAGTACTTTTACTCCACAATTTAATTCCTTTAGTTACTTTTAACATTTGGATTAATAATGTGTGTAAAGTCAAAACTTAAAAAATACTTTAGTTACACTTGGAGTACATTCACAAACGACCCTGCAGTATACAAAGTCATTCAAACTAGCTGCCCCTTTACCAGCTGTGATAACACTTGAATGCATCTGAAATGGACACATTTGCATAATAAGTACTTTTACTTTTGAAACTTCAATAATTATGCTAATACGTTTGTACTTTGACTTGAGTATCATTTATAATACTAAAGGACTTTTACTTGTAACAGAGTATTCCTACACTCTGGTACTTCTACTTGTACTCAAGTACAATATCTGAGTACTTCCTCCTCTGCATATAAGTACTGGAAAGGAAGACCTGGAAAGTCTTTAAATGTAAAGTTGTAAACTCCCAATCTAAGTTAATTGGTAATCAAATCAAAATGCAGAATGTCCCCTTTCAGAGCTATGTTTTAATATCATTAGATCCTTATTAGCTAATGTATTAGCATCTATGCAGCATTGTAATATTGCAGCTGGTTAAAGTGGAGCTAGTTTTAACAAATTCATATAGTTTGGGACTGTACATAATGCGTCATCATATCTTATGTTCATTAATTGTTTGTTAAATCAAGTTTTAATTACGAAATTAATTACAGCAGAAATGGCAATCCTGCTATTTGAAAAGCTACAGTCAGTTTAAACCTGAATGGACAGGCAATGTATGTATAATGTTCTAAAAAAGCAATCGTCACGCATCAAGGTGGTGTAGCAGAACCTGGTGTAATGTTAGTCCTCTGATAGGTCACTGTGCAGAAGAGATACATCTCTCAGAGGGAGAATGTTCATGTCAACTCTGTGTCTAGTGCACAGTGTTAGACAAACCACTGTATATACAGCCAGAGAGAAGGTTACAAACTATTTACTTAAATCCTCTCTCCAGTAAACAAGATGAGAGATGTCAGCAGTAAAGCAAATCAAGAGAAAGGCCAATTCAACAAGTATTTTTCTTCTCTATCTTTGTGCCATTTGCTTGCCGTCTTTATGTTAGTAATATCTACACTTTGTTTAGTCTTTTTAGATAATACTGCTTCAGTACAAACATTCTCATTTAATAACAGAGATGTTTTATTACATTACAAGTTACACAATTCCACATATAAATAACCACACATATAGGAATACATGTACAACATATCTTAACTAGATTGCATTGTGTTTCTCTTCTGCTCCATCAAAAGCATTTAGAGGAAAACATTTCCTCTCTCCCTGAACAGGTTAGGGAAGTAATGGTGGAATAAAAAACAACAAAAACTATAAATAATCAAGATGCTACATTGATAAACTGGATACTTCGTACAGATTTAATATGGAATTGTTAAGTTATTAAATACAACTACACTTATATTATTTATTGATTATATTATTTTCCTGATTATTTTGTTGCAGTATGGATTTTAACAAAAACTGTTAGCACATTAGGGTTTATATTATTGTTATAGTCATATACATTTTGCATATTACAGTAAGAGGAAAGATGAAAGTGAAAGAGGACAGGATAGGCAGCAGAGTGTCGTCAGGGCTCTTTGGAATGAAATGCTCAATGTACAATATACATTTCTAACTTGCTTTACAATTCCCTGAGCTTCAAGTTAGCCTTGCTCCATAGTGTTGCATATATTTTATCAAGTACTTAGGAATACTTGTAACATAATGTGAGAAATTGTATTATACTACTATACACATTATACCCTACTGTCCTACTAGGGCATTGCGTTCCAAGAATGCAGGGTTGTTGGTTGTTCCTAGAGTCTCTAAAAGTACAATGGGAGCCAGAGCCTTTTCTTATCAAGCTCCACATTTGTGGAATCAGCTTCCAGTTTGTGTTCGGGCGGCAGACACCCTATCCGTTTTTAAGAGTGCGCTTAAGACCTTCCTTTTTGATAAAGCTATAGTTAGGGCTGATTAGATTCAGCCCCTAGTTTTGCTGATATAGGCTTAGTTTGTCGGGGGACATCTTACTTCTTCCTTCTCTCTGTCTATACCTGTGTACTCTCATGTTCCGATTAACCCAGCTTCCCCAAATGTCTTTCTTTTTGGTGTCTATATACGCCGGGATCCGGAGTCATGGATGATCCTGTTGCTGCGGTCCTGTGTCCTGGATCTTGAGTCGTGGCTGTGGTCCTGGATCATAAGTCCTGGATGGATATCCTCGTGGATTCATCTTCCTATTATACACACATGCATTTCCAAACATTTGGACTACCTATGTTGCAAATGTATTATCTTTTCAATTTACACACGGCATCTATTGCACGTCTGTCCGTCCTGGGAGAGGGATCCCTCCTCTGTTGCTCTCCCTGAAGTTTCTCCCATTTTTCCCTTTAAACTGTGGGTTTTCTCCGGAAGTTTTTCCTTGTACGATGTGAGGGTCTAAGGACAGATGGTGTCGTATTGTCATACTGATATTCCATACAAACTGTGAAGTCCAC